ATTTCTGGCTGCCTCTTCAGAAGGTCAGCTCTGTATGGGGACTGTCTTGATTTCTTGTAATTCTTGTAACCCCTGCAGCTCACCTAAGGTCAGTGAATATTTACTTAAAGACTGATAGCCGCTTATGGCCATGGGGAGAGTACCCCATTTCCTGGTATGCCATTCAAGGCCACCGATTAACACCCACTTTATAGTACCTTTCCGGCTTCCACCCCACCACCTCTTCTCATGAACCCAGAGCTCCACCCACAGCACAGCCCTTAGCACAGCAGGACTTTTCACTCCTCCATGCTTTTGTCTGTGCCATTCTCTCTGCCCAAAATTCCCCTTCTTCATTTTCCCACCTGGTGAACTCCTATGCAGCCTTCAAAGCCCAACCCAAATATTCCTGCCCTGCAGAATAGGAAGCATAAAGGTTAGGGATTTAGACTAGGATTTAAATCCTGTCCCCCACACTTCCTAGCTGGGTGACCTTGAGCAAGTTACTTCCCTGCTCCTGATCTTAGTCTCTTTCTTTGCAAAATGGGATTACTAATGCTTTCTCTAGTGGGCCATCCGCTTGCCAGCTAGCCTTTTCTCATGGTACTCTCTGGAGGCCTGACAGGTGCCTCTGAGCCCTGGGCACTCTAGCAGTCTCTGAGAACGGACAGCAGTTTGGTGAGCATCTATTTATTTGGCTGCCAGCAGCCACTCCCCTCCTTTGGCTAGCCCACGTGATTTCCCTCCAGGAAGGAGCCTGCTTACCTTCCATCCACATGTTTCTGATAAGCATCCTTCTCCCACAGCAGCTGGGATAGACATGTGACCAGGCCTAGCCAATCGGAGCATTCCATCCCCTTCTGCCACAACAATTGGCTCAGAGGTTGACACCAGGTGACCCAATTCTGGCCAATATGACACATCCTTGAGACCCTGCCTGGCATTATCAGTAAAAGAGCCCTCCCTTTGGACTGAGGGAGCTAAAAGTGAGGCAAGCATAGAGAAAGGCCAAACCCAGAGCTGGAGACATGGTTTCAGCCCCTGGATCCACCCATTTTTGAAGGCAGCCACATCTGGCTTAAGTGGGCAGGAGTTGAGATGTCCGCACTGAGACACTGTCCTCTGGGTGGCTCCCAGTCTCTGGTTCCTCACTTGCTGTTGAGGGCCGAAGAGCCATGACTGAGAAAGGAGCATGCAGAGTCCCGGACTGGGGCCCCGCTGTGCAAGGGAGAGGAGGGAGAGTCTATGGGATGGGGTCCTGCAGGGGGCTCAGTGAGAGGCAGGGGACATGGGGCACCAGGCGGGTGGGGGTGCTGTAGAGGGCAAGATGCCTGCTCCAGCCTCCTCTGGCTACCCCGCAGAGATCCCTGGCTTTTGCACTGAGGGGCCGCTGCCGGGTCCTCGAGCGACCCTGCTCAGCTCCAAGCCTCACTGACCCACCTGAGCCCTGGCACCCCAGCTCCCTGACTCCCCAGTAGTCATTGGGCATTTCTGCATTTATTCTGTGTAGAACCAAAATACCGTTTTTTCATTAAAAGCAATGGCTGCCTTGGGACTGCTATGTTGCCTGGCCGCAGGGGCACCCTATCAGAGACCCTGCATTTAGTCTGTACAGTTGTCTCTGTGGCCCGAGTCCCCAGGTGCTGTGGTGCCAGAGAAGGAAGGGCATGGAGAAGGAGCAGGAGGGAGAGCCAAGGTCCCCACCTGAGCTTCCTGAGTCCTTCCCCATCTGGAGACTTTACGGGAAGGATGGTAGGGGAGAAGAACTCTGTGAGCACACATCACCCCTGGACCTCAGACAGGGAGCACTGGACCCCAAGAGAAGAGCTGTGGCTGGAAGAAAGGAAGGCCACAGTCCAGCCTGGAAGGAAGGGCGGGCTCCACTGGGAATAAGCACCCCCCCAACCTCTTTGCTACTCTCCCTTCCCTGCCCCCAACCCCAGGTCTCCGGGAAGTGGACAGAGTCTCCTCCCAACATCAGGGAAGATGCTCAACTCCTGCAAACCTAGAAAGTCGGTCCAGCCCCTCCCCATGCCACCCCTGTGAACCAGAGGTAGGAGATTTAAGGGGGTGCATGGAGACTCTCCCTGTGGGTGCCTCTGGGGACAGAGGATGCAAACTGGCAATTTGGATTTTTAATATAAAAAATGTAAGGTCTGCACAGGCAGGGGTATTAATAAGTTTGGCTCCCAGCCTTAGAAAGGCACCTCACGTGAGCATGTGCCCAGCAAATATGTGGTCGACAGAGTTACATCGCTATGCCCAGGCAGGGACACAGAGGAAGCAAGGGGTAGAAGGGGACAAGAGGGGACAGTGGAGGTACCCCTGGGACCCTGGCGTGAGGGTAGGTGTTGAGGGCAGTGGCATCCTGGGCAGCTGTCCCACCTTGCCCCCAGCATCTTCCTCATTCCCCAGGACCCTGTGACTGGGCACTAGATCAGCATTGGTAGAATCCTGGGGGCCGAGGGGGTACCAGGGTGGGCTGCTCCAGACTTCTGCTCTAGTAAATGGGCCCCAGGCCTATAGTGGCAGCCGCTCAGGGGTCCCCTGTCCAATGTGTGGCAACACCGTCTGCTTCGGAGAAGGAGGGGACTGCAACAGACCTGCCTGCCTGGAGTAAGGTGCTGACACTCTCCCTGTGCCTTGGAGCCCTATCCCCAGGCCAGAGACTCACTCCCTCCCCACCCCGCTCCCCACCCTGCCTTCAACCCCTTCCAACTTGGAACACAGCTTTAGGGACATGTTTAGAGATGCCGAGGATCCTACTGAGGCCATTTTCAGAGTCCCTGGACAGAAGGATCCACCTCCAGCTGGTTGGCAGAAGGCCTTTCCACCCAGCAGTCTGCGCTTGGTGTCTGCCTGGTGCCTGTGGGCTCAAAATTAGCACACCCTCACTGGCTTCTGAGCTCAGGGGGTTTAGCTCATGGCTGGGGGTGGGAGGAGACAGCAGAGGTGGTTGGGTAGGTTGGTTTGATTAATCTTCTTTTGTCATGGCCAAGGTGTCAAGGTGTTCAAATAATAGGGAAGCCCAGCAGGGCACATGGCCCAAGCAAAGACTGGGGGGGGGGGGGCATAAGTCCCTCTCTCTAGCTCCTGTTCTCCTGGGTCTTGCAGGAGAGGGTTAGAAGGAGAAGGAACAAAGCGCAGAGAGTGACCAGTGCCTTGGCTCATTTCTCTTTTCTCAAACCTGGGTAGAGGAGGTAGCAGGAGAGATATGTCCCAGGAGGGGAGAGCCATACAACCCCAGAGATACAGACACGCAGATGCCTACTGAATCGTACCTACTCCTTTGTAGATACCCCTGAGACACACCCCCCACACCAGGACCCAGACGCTCTGGTCTTTTCTCTCTCTCACACCCCACCCCAGATGCTGAGCTCTGGGGGCTGGGAGTCCAGGTCCTGAGTAAACATTTGTCCCTGAATGACTGGGTGGACAGAAACTGTCCTACGGTCACAGACCCTGGGATCACAGCCCACACCGTGCTAGGGGACACGCTGCTCAGCTAGGACACAGGAGCACCTGTTGCGAACCTGGAACACCACTCTCAGATGGCCCGCCTGCTCACAGAAAGGGGTGGTGGTAGAAACTGTCCAGAGCTCCCTTCCACAGGCTTGGACAGGGCTCCAGATCTGGGCGGCTGAGTCCAGACATGGGGGAAACAGTGCGAGTAGCAGGGTGACTGGGTGAACACTAGGGAGGCCTCTCCAAGGGGTGCTCACCTGGACCCCAGCTATACCCTGGCCTCCAGCCCGGAGGCAGGCATGGGGGTTTGAGGGAAAGCAGGAGAAGGAAGCCCCTCACCCCGGCATGAAGGGAGCACAATGTTACCCCTAATCAGGACAGCTGACCCTAATCATGAGTCCTAAACATGACCAGCCACTTTCTGTGTGCTGTCTCCCTAACTCCTTTAACTTCATCTCCCCAGAAACCCCATAAGGAAGAACTTGAGCACTCCATGTGATAGATGGGAGTACTGAGGACCTGGGGAGAGAGGGAATAGGTCATCCAGCAGGTAAAGCTGTGGAATGACCTTTATTCACGAATCTAGACCCAGCCAGGGGGGTGAGTGTCCCCCCAAAATAGATTCCTCAGCCTCATCTCTTGGGCCACCTTGACCCCATGGCTCACAGTCCCTGCCCACCCTGGGGGGCGTGGTTATCTACTTCCTGGGACCCTGTCTGGGAGTCACCAAAGATGGGGCTCTGAGGATTCTCACAGCCCACACAGGGTAGGGGCGGGGAGTAGAGACTGACCCCCTACCCACCCGTCCCTGCTCCCTACCCCAACACACTCACACCCAGAAAAGGCAAATAGAGCCAGAGACGGGAACACACTGCTGACTAGGCATCTCAGCCCCCAGGCATACTGTGTAGCCTGTGGGTTAGCCATCCACACCTGTCCCTCACTCTCTCTGGCCTTAGTTTCCCACTTTTAAGTGGGGAGGAGACGAAGTGAAGTAAGACTCAGCGCACGCCTGGCCTAGAGCAGCTACTTTGCACTGCGGACTCATGACGAGCTGCCTCAGTTTCTCCAACCAGACCATGTAATGTGGGCGGAGGAGCCCCAAGTCCTTACCCCTGTGGACCTGGGGGCGGAGCAGGGTGCTCCAGGCAGCGGTGACTGTGGCACAGAGGGACCACCTTCAGGACCAGGCAGCGCCAAGCTTCTCCAACCCACCCAAGCTTATGCCAAGAGACTTCGGGGCGCCAAGGGGTGTTGGGGCAAGGTAAATGAGGCTGCGTTCCTGGGTGGGTCCAATGCCCTCGGCCACCCACAACTGACCCCGGTCCCTGCGCACAGCCTATGAGGCCCCAAAGGATCACATCTCTTGGTCACTGAGAGACCAACTCCCGAGGGGCCCAACACCCTTGCGGGGAGCTGGGCCATGGGCGGGGGCGCCTAGTGCCTTTCTGCACCCACCCACCCCCACCTCGCCCCCCCCACTTCGCCCGCCCCCCCACCCCGAGACCGGGAGGACACAGCGGGTGCCTCCCGGGAAGGGCCCGACGGGGACTCACCCGGGCTCAGGGCGCGGGGCGCGGCGCCCAGGAGTAGGAGCGCGGCACCCAGACACGCGGCGGCCACGGCGCGCCGCGGCCAGCAGCGCCTCCCCATGCTGTGCAGGGCCCGTGGGGCTGCAGTCCGGGCAACAGTGCCCGGCCCGGGACCCGCCCCGGGAGCCGCCCCGCCGGGTCCCGCCCGCCCGGCGGCGCGTACCAAGGCACCGCACGGGGGTGCTAGGGCCCTGCTCGCTGGGGGCAGGGTGGCGTGGCGGCAGACCGCTGGGGACTGCGGAGGTGCGCGACGGCGGGTGGCGAGCCTCTCTCGTTTGGCCTCCACGCCACACACCCCGTCAAGTGGGGCAGCGGTCCAGGACGCAAAGGCTGGAGACCGGGTGGAAAGAGCCCTTTCGCCGGTGAGGCTCCGCCTCCTTCAGTTTGCCCTGGGGTACCATCCTCCACCCGAGGCCAAGAAGCTTGCCATCCAAGTAGCAGATCGGTGGGTGGGTCAGAAGAGCCCTGTGTCCTCGGTGTGTTTTCGCGGCCTCGCATTCCAGGGGGCTGGCTAAGGGCTGGTATGGGGAAAAGCCCTCTGTACATAACCCTCCCCCCAACCCGCCCCGATCTTCTGTCCCCAGTACCAGGCCTGAGTGCCTCTTACTTCCCCCTGTAGCCTTGTTTTCCACAGGTGTCTCCAGGTCCTGCCTGAATTCTGGCTTAAGTAGGTCCTGGCCAGCTCTGGGAGGAGAGGTGGGAGTTCTCAGTTCACGCCCTGATGGGGGTCGGGGCTCTTGTGCTTCACCTGGTCCCAGCAAGGGATCCGCACTCCAGGACCGCACTCACCTTGCTGAGGACTCCTGTGTGTGGGGGGATGAGAGTGAAGTCCCACATTTGAATGATAAACATCCAGCTAGCCCTGTGGGGTGGGAAGACCAGGGATCAAGCCTGACCCTAGTGCCTTGCTGCCCAGAAGTCAGGCTAACAGGGAACCAAGGGTGCAGCTGATACCATATGCAGGTGTGTGTGTGTCTGCACCTGCGTGAACACTTAGCGGTGTGAGTGTGTGGGAAAGGGCGCTGCTGCAGTGAACTACAGTTTTATAGTAGCTCTTGAAAAATCCTGCAGGTGCCACCTAACTATTGTGTGAGATCAGGAAATTTGCCTAAGCTCTCTGTGCCCCAATTCCCTGTACAATGGATCAGTGAGTGCCATCTAAATCCTAGATGTTCGTGATGATTTAATTTATTTTTACAGTTACTGCCTGTTTCTGGCAAAAGACTGGTTTCTCTTACAGTGGTGATAACAGAAGTTCTTTCCTATTGTATTTATTGAGGTTTTAAAGGTCTGTTTAAGGAAACATATTAAGTAAATGATAGTTCTGTGGCTTAAAGAGATGGCTCCAAATGGTGATGATAGATCTCAAATGGCAGAGAAGTGGGAAACACAGTTCACAGATCAAAACAGAAGCTCATTATTATGACTTTCCGGATGACTTGGACAGAGAGCCTTGGGACTGGCCCAGATTTCCAGTTATCCGCGTGCCCAGTGGGTCCCAAATCTAATCTACACGTGCATTCCAGATCCTCCCCCAGCCCACATTCTCCATAAGGGGTCCCAGCCTCTGGGTCCTTGGTCTCCTGGGCTGCCACCTGGTGGCCAAAGTTGAGAATAATGCCTCAGCCTATCCCTGTGGAGAAAATTCCTGGAGACTGGATCCCTAGAGACCCATGGGGGTGCCTCAGTTCAGGGTCTTGGGATGGAAGGGTTGACTATGCCTTGCCAGAGGCCCAGGGCCTCAGTATCTTCCCTATGAGGACACCTTGTGCATCCTCTGTCCTCTTAAAGGGGCTCACATTCATTCATTCAGTAGATATTGAATTACCTACTCTGTGTGGGGGCTTGGGGGGACAGAACAAGACAGGGCCTTTGCCCTCATGAAATTTACATTATAGAATGGGTAGGGGACAGAAAACAGGAATAAAAATATAAGATCATGCGAGGTGGTAAATGGTGCGATAAAGAAAATAAAGCAAGATAAAGGATGGGAAGTGTGTATACTGCCTGTAAGGAGTGAGGGTGACAGGCACTGGCCTCAGGAAGGATGTGACACTTGAGTCAGGTGGGGAAGAGCCACACAGGTATCTGGAAGAGGACATTTCCAGGCAGAGGACCAGCCCTTGCTGAGGCCCTGATGCCATGTACCAGGAGCTGTTAACTAACAAATTGCCCTAAAACTTAGCAGCTTAAAACAACCATTGAAATTTTGCTCACAAAAAAGACAATGATCATACGATTTTACTCATCTGTGGAATTTAAGAAACAAAACAGAGGAACATAGGGGAAGGGAGGGAAAAATAAAATAAGACAAAATCAGAGAGGGAAACAAACCATAAGAGACTCTTAATTCTAGGAAACAAACTGAGCGTTGCTAGACGGGGAGGGGTGTTGGGGAGATGGGGTCACTGGGTGATGGGCATTAAGGAGGGCACATCATAAAATGAGCACTGGGTGTTCTGTACAACTGATGGATCACTAAACTCTACCTCTGAAACTAATAATACAGTATATGTTAATTGATTTCAAATAAAATAAAATCTTTTAATAACAAATTTTGCTCACCATTTGTGGGTCAAGATTTGGGGAAGGGGCTGAGTTTGATGCTTCTCCCTGGGGGCCTCATCCTACTGCATCAGAGGGCAGCTGAGACTGGCCATCCCTGGTGGCTCCCTCATGTGCCGGAGGTCAGCTGGGCGGTTGACCTGGATACCTCTGCATGGCACACCCCAGCCTGGGGTCCCAGGGTACTTGGGTTGTTCCACAGAGTCTAGACTTCCTTCTGTTTGTTTCCTGATAATCACAAAGTTTGACCCAGACTCAAAGGGCAGGACCATACCCCAGCATCACTAGGAGAAGCACCCAAGCAAGGACTGGGTGGCAGGTTTTACAGCCACTACTGGTGTGAACAAGGAGCAGGAAGGAGGCTCTGGAGTTGATGAGAGTGGATGGAGAAGTCAGAGAGGCAAGCAGGTGGTCTACCTCCCCAGAGTGTCCTGGGCCACATGTGGGTTAGTCTAAGCAGTCTGCAGTTGTGTTGCTAATTGGCTGGAGGTAGCTGGGAGAAGGTGGGGGGCCAGGAGAGAGGCTGGTGCCATCTCTGGGAGAGAAGATGGGCATGGACCTGGGTGGGGTGTTCTCAGCGTCCAGGGTGTATTTTTAAGTTAGAGGGGTTGGTTCAGGGTGGTTCAGGGGAATGTATCCCAGGTGGTAAAGTGGTTAGAGGAGTAGGAGGGGAAGCTGAGACCAGGCTGATGGTTCAAGAGACAGAAATCCTGCCTGGGTCAGGAAGGCCAGCTGGATACTACAGAGACTGGGGTCCAGTGTGGCCTGGACTGGGGGGCACCAGGAAGGCAAGGCTGGGATATATAGTGCTAGTCACCAGGTGCTGCTAGGAGGAGAGGCTGGCTAGGACAGAAGCAGCCACTGGGGTCAACCAGAGGGGAAACTAAGGCGGGCACTTGACAGCTGGAAAGAGGCCCCATCAATCACCAGGGAGGCACATTCTGAGTGAAACTGGGTTTGGATTTTAGTGCCTTCCTGCCTTTCTTTACTCCTTATTAGTTTAAATTTTTTATTTATTTGGTTTGTCCATGGAGCAAAATTCAAAACCACCAGAGGTTTTTTCAAATGAGGTGAAATTTACATACCATAAAATTAATCATTTTAAAGTGTGCAGTTCCCTGGCATTTAGTACATTGACAATGTTGAAAGTGTCAGAGTTTTACGGTGAGAAGTCTCCTTCCTTCCCCAGTTCTTTGTAGTGTACACACACACACACACAAACACACACACACACACTGCTCTTTTCCTTGCTTTCTGATACAGGCAACAACTGGAAAATGAACAGTATCTTAACAGATGTTTATTCCGTGACAGGCATTAAGATGTGCCTCACGTGTTCTTAGTTAATCCTCGGACGTACCCTGTGAGGGAGGGCTATTACTACTTCCATTTTACAAACAAGGAAACCGAAGCACAGGAAGGCTGAGTAACTTCCCCAAAGATACACAGCTAGTGAGCCATAGAGCCAGTCTGGCCTATGTAACACCCGTGACCCCATCCTTTTGCCTAGCTTGTACGATGTTTTTAAAAATGAAGTTATTTATTTTGCAATTCTTGTTGATTCATGTTGTAAGAAACAATCCCTTGTGCCCCATTCGCCCATGGGTAACATCCTGCAAAACTGCAGAGCTGTATCATAACCAGGACATTGATGCTGATAAAATCCACCCATGTTTAAAACCATTTTCTAACGGACTGCAAACATTTCAAAATGAGGAGATCTTAAAAAAGCTGATTTCTGGCGTATCTGCCAGATGAGGTCCGCCAGGGGGACCTCAAGAGTGGCTGGGAGGGTGCATAGAGCCCGAGCTCTGGGTTCTGAAGGTTCAGATCCAGCTTTGTGGTCTTAGTTCCTGCCACCCCTCTCCACCTCAGCTTCCACATCCATAGAATGGGACAGTGAACTCCATGGGGCTGACGAGGGGACAGAGTGAACTGGATCACGTGACGTGCTCCAAAGCGTGCATTTAGTACTGGAAGATGTTTGTTGTTCTTCTCCCCTTGCCTTGAGTAGGTACTGCCCTTAGTGCTTACACAACTCGTTTGTGCCTCCCACAGCCTGAGTGGTAAGTTACCACCCACTTGTGTAGACAGGGACAAGGCCCAAGGCCACAGGGCCGGTCAGGAGCTGAGCTAGATTAACACCCAAATGTGTTGCTTTCCGCGGACCGCCAGGATTCTAGAGTGTGGTCGCTTCCTGGCTGTGCGAGTGGGACCCGGGCCTCAGTTTCCCCGTCTGCAGCACACGACTGATTAGGAGCACTTTCCTGCAAGGTTGTTAATGAAATCAAGGATGAGAGCCATCTCCAGTCGGGCCCTTCACAGAGATCTTTGGGCAGGGGATGAAGCAGCGTGTACCTCACTGGGAGTCGAGAAGAGTACACCTGCTGCTGGGGGTGGGGCACTGCCCGCCTTCTGCACAAACTATGCGTTCTGTGCAGCTTCAGTATTACATGCCTCCCCATCATCGAGATACCAACCCAGCATCACCTGCATGGGTAAGACTGCCAAAGC